GGCGGGCCACAACGTGTCAGTGGCAGCCAGCGCTTCCCACTGGCACAGCTACCTCGGGGTGATTGTGTCCCGCGAGAGACAGCGGCTGGAGCATTTCCAGCGGGCCGAGGACATCCTGCTGACCCTGCTGGAGGGTGTCCACGCCAGGGAGCCCCGCTTCCTCGTAGACTATGCCAGGAACCTGGAAGCCTTCGAGTTTGCTCTCTGCGCCTCTGAGGATGCTGTCACGGTGGAGGTCCCCCTGCGGATCGATGGCGACGGCCTGCGGGTGCTGACATGCTGGTGCAGAGACACCCCAGCTGGGCACCATCTGGGGCTGGGTACCTGCTGTCTGGAAGTGCCCTCTCCAGGGACCGACTTGGAGGACTGGACCAGCGCTGTGGGTGTGATGGAGCAGGGAGGTGGTGCGGGGTGCCTGGTTCCGGGCAAAGTCCTCCAGCACCTGAAAGAGCTTCTTGTTTCGGCCATCGTGCACTGCCAACGCCGCTTCCTGCTTCAGCCAGGTGCGTACGCTAAGGGGCGGCGGGTGGGGGGGCGCTACCCCAGCCAGGAGCTGCCTCCAGCGCAGTTGGGAAGCCCAGCTCGGCGGTGGTCCCTGCGCAAATGGGCTGGGGCGTAAGTCCCCAGGCGCATGGCCTGCCCAAAGTGTGCACGAGCAAGCGAGTGTCCTGCCATGCGCTGGGACAGGCTTTGCCCTTAGCTAAGGAAGGGGAGATGCAAACTACTCCCTGCCATCCCACGGCAGCAGAGTCATCCTCAGGCATCTTCACCCTTGGCTGATGGCACCCTACTTGGTGGGTGGCAGCTCCATGCAGGGTTCACCCACCCCTGCCGTTAGTCCCTGGGGAGGGTTTGCTCAGGGACTTGGCATGCTTGGCTCACCCTAACAGCGTTCCCCCTGTCTCTCCTGGCCTCTGAGTCCCCCGCTCCCTGGAGGAGGCTGTTTGGAGGGTGAGCTGGAAGCGTGTCAGGGCTGGACCAGGACCTTGGGGCATGGGTCTGACCCTGCACGCACATGGGCCCCAGCTGGGAGCAGCATACCCAGGAAGGACATGGTGGGGAAGGGACCCTGGGAATGCCCATAGGGGTTCCATCAGCTTCTGCATGCATTTCCATCTCCAAAGGTGCTTCTTGAAGTAAATCTCAGCCCTGATGGAAAGGTGATGTGAGAGGACCAGCAGGTCCGAAAGTCTCTTAACCCAGCCCCAGTAAGCCCACCATTCCCTCCTTCCTCCTCAGCCAAGCCAAGCCCTTCATCTTCCTCTACCCCCACAACCTGAGATGTTTCCTGGTTCATTTTTCTTGGACCACGTCGGGTTTTTTGGCACTGTTCAGCTACCCAGCAGCATGGTCCCATTCGGCCGCTCGGGGCTTCATGCTGTGCCCACGCCCGCTGGCCTGGCCCTGAGCCCCACTGGAGTGATGCTCCTTCCCGAAAACCACCCCAGCGGGGTTTGTAGAATGGCTTTTGCCGGGGAACCGCAGCCAAACCGCAGCATTGGAAAGGGATGAGTCGAGCGGGGTGGGACGTGCCCACGGGCATCTGCGGCACGTACCCGGTTCAGCCTGCGGGACCGGCTGTGGTGACCTCCTAACTGCAGCCAAACCCTCCGCATCTAGGTGACCTCAGCGCCGAAAATCTGAAGGAAGATGCTATGGAGCTCTCCCTGCTGATCCGCGGCGGCTGGAAGACCATCCGCTTTGACATTGTCCCCGTGGTGAGGAGGCGGCAGGAGCCGCTCTGGCTCAAAGGGCGGCAGAGCGACAGGGGCTTCCCTGAAGGCAGCCTCCGGAAGGCCACAGAAGAGGCCCATTTCATCCCTGCCTCTCCCCATTGCTGGAGGTGAGGGTTTCAGCTGCATGCATAGCGGGGTGACCCTGCCCCAGGAATCCCACTTGGCCGGCAGCGCTGCTGGGTGTGTGCAAAAAGGGATGGGAAAGTGTAGTCACCCCCTCGTGATGCCCAAACCTGCTGCCCTGTGTTGGGGGAAAAACCTCAGCCAAACTTCAGGCAGCTCAAGGAAGGAGGCGGGGGATGCAGCTGAAGGAGCCCCCTCAAATTTTTGCAGGAGCTGAACCCCAGCCTCATGGAAGGTGGCAGCTCTCAGATCCCTGCTCGGGCTTTGGGAGTGAGCCTGGGCATCTGGCGGCTGCAGGGTGATGAGGTGCCTCCCAGGGTGGGCTGTGGGTGGGAGGGTGGCCAGGGTGACACACGTCTTGCCTGCCAGCACAGCTACCTGGCCCCAAGGAGGGGCCGAGCATCCGGCTGGACCAGCCCAGGCTTATTTCGGGTGCAGTGTGGTCCAGCCGGATGCTTGGCCCCTCCCTGAGGTCCAATCCCGCCTCCCCCCAGGGCAGCCTGCAGCCCTCTCTGCTGCATGTAGGGGAGCACAACCCCACTTTGCCTGCGCTCTTGTCCCTCCCAGGAAGGCAGGAGCTTCTTAGCAGCATTCCCATCACGCTGCAAATCTCTCTGGTCCCTCTTCACCAGAGGCGGGTGTGGGAGGTGGATCCAGGATGCTGCGTGCCTGGGGCCATGTGGGTGGCTGGGGGGGATCCCCACGCACGCTGTGTCACTGCAGGTATCCTCTCTCCAGCTGGGAGGATGCCGGTCTCCATGCTCCCTCTCACCGGACCCCACTTTCCCTTGCCAGATCCTCCACTCACCTCCCCATCCTGAAGCTGCTCCAGGCAGTGGACTCAATGAAGGGACCCCGTCTGGACAGCCTTCGCCTGCTCGACCAGCTCCGCAGCCAGGACTGGGGAGAGGAGGGTGGGAAAGGTGGTCTCACCTTCAACCACCTGAAGGTAGGTAGGTTCTGCTGGTGGGACCGTGGCTCTCTGGGCAGGCAGAGCCAAGGCTTCTCCCCCGCACCCCACCGCGGCCGAGTCGCTGCTGGAAGAAGATCCCAAGCAACAAACCCCAGTGCCTGCAGTGCTTTGGGATGTACCAGCCCATGGCTGTATCCGGAAAGGATGCACACCACCGACCATGGTTAGAGGGGCTTGATCCTTCTTCCTTGCAAACGGCAGGCACTTGTTGGATTGAACCAGCAACCTCCAGCCTGAAACACCCTGAGAGTTAAGAGCTGTGGCTCTGTGCCGATGTGCCAGGCACCCCCTGTCTGTCTGCAGGGGCCATGCTGGGGATTGCATTGCCGTGCTGTGCCTCGGCATGCTGGGAGGTGCCCGTGCAGGGCTGAGGGTGGCGTTTCCTCTGACAAAACCCTCTCTCCACACCCAACCTGTTTTCACCCAACCCAAGCTGGTGACACCGGTTGGGAAAGGGGCCACACTGGGGACAGCACCTGGTGGCCCAATCTAGGTGTGCCCTGCCTTGTGGCGGCTCTCCGGGCCAGGGTGGAGAAGGACACAAAGTCATCCTCTGCCGAGAGAACGGCCTCAGCTCCAAGTAACCCAAATCCTGTGGGTTTTGCTTTATGTTGCCTTCTTTGATATTTTTTTTTTTTTTTTTTTAAAAAAGGGGCACAGTATACATCTGTCCTTCAAAAAAGCATCTTCTGCTCCAGCCCACTGCATGCGTTGCCCATTACGCCATGTCACCAAAAGGCATCGGTGCCAGGCCTTTTGCCAGCGCAGTGCCGAGGAAACTGGTGTGGCAGTTGCTGGGGGTTCGCCTGCCTTGCCAGCGACTGATGAAAACCACAAGCAGGGGGTTTTACTATTGCTTGGTGCCTGAGGGAAGC